GGGAGGTCCCAACAGCAGAAGGACACGGAGCTGGTGGAGCGGGGCCAGAGGAGGGCACGGAGATGCTGGGAGGGCTGGAGAACCTCTGCTGGGAGAGTTGGGGGGGCTCAGCCTGGAGAAGAGAAGGCCAAAAAGGGGAGAGCTCAGAGCCCCTTCCAGTGCCTAAAGGGGCTCCAGGAGAGCTGGGGAGGGACTTTTTCCAAGGGCATGGAGTGATCAGAGGAAGGGGAACGGCTTCAAACTGGAAGAGAGTAAATTTAGATGAGATATTAGGAAGAAAATTTTCCCTGTGAGGGTGGTGAGCCCCTGGGGCAGGGTGCCCCGAGAAGCTGTGGCTGCCCCATCCCTGGAGGTGTTCAAGGCCAGGTTGGACGGGGCTCGGAGCAACCTGGGCTGGGGGGAGGTGACCACTATTGGGGTTGGACTAGATGGCCTTTAAGGTCCCTTCCAACCCAAACCGTTCTGTGATTCTATATATTTCACCACTCTGCACTTAAGCTGCCCGGTGGCTGCTGTTCATGCGTTTTGGGTGTTGTGAACAACAAGGCTTGAGCAGAGGTGCCAAGAGCAGGGCAGGACCAGCAGGTACCACACCGCGGGGCCAGACGGGTGAGCAGGACACCCAGGCACAAGGCTACCAGCAAAAGTTGCCCACAACTGCTGCAAAGAAGCAAAGATACCATTTGCTTCTTTGCGTGGAATAATCTGTTTCTTCAAACAGATTTCCAAGAAGGAAAAAATAAATAAATAAATACTGTCTTTTAATGTTTAAATAAGGTCAGCCATTATAAGAAAGCTGTAGCCACTTAAACTTAGAAAAACAGTATCCCCCCAGAATTACGCATGAAGAAATAAGATGTCAATTAAGCCAGCCACAGACATTAGGTAGCTGCGTTCAAGCATCGTTTCATCAACACAAATTAAGACAGTGCTGTGGTGAGTTATCTGTGCACCCTCACTAGGTTTGTCTCAGCAATACCCTGCATCTCAATGAAGAAAAATCAAGAAGTGAAAAACTTTCAAAATTCTGCCAATATTCAAGGCCAATTAAGTAGAGGTTGCTTTGACATCAGTCCCAATGGAAAAAAAAAAAAACCCAAACAAAACACAAAAAAACCCCAAAAACCAAAAAAGCCAAACCCACACCAACAGAAGTTTGAAGATTACCAAAAGATAATCAAGAGGCAGGAGTACAGTTAATGCCAGTCAACGCAGCCGTATAAAAGATACCACCTTATCACACAAACTAATTTGTCAGGCCTGGGGTCAGCCCTGACGGCAGCAGCGTCCAGGGAACAAAAGGCAGCACGAGAAAAGCTCCCCCCGTTTTAAGAGGACGTGTCACGTTAGCTCTCCTGGTGCCTACAAAACCTTCCAGCGTCTCCAGCCAACCGAGGTGACGAGAGAAGTAGGAAATGTGGTATTTGGAAGGAATTAGACAGATTAGAGATGAACCTCATTGACCACAAGCACTTTTTCAAGCTTTAGCTTCTAACCAGCGCTACTTATACCTTCTCTGTTCATTTCGAAACCAAATGATATTTAGAGGTTCATCTTCTAATACCTCAAACTCTCATCAGAAATAAAACATTGAGGACGAGAAACATGAAAATAACTGGCTTCCCTAGTGCTGTATTTGCTCTCTCTAGCACGCATTAGATCAAGTCCAGCCACCCTCGGGTAATATATTTATTAATCTCAATGCACAAGTAATGTAAATTATGAAGACAAGCCTGCACGAGGGCTCCAGGTGCCCAGTACCTGCCAGCAACTCAAATTCCCCGGCTCAGCCTTTTCGGTGCACCCACGGAGGAACAGTTTACACGGCGATACTCTAATTAAGGCGTCGCACTGCAGATTAATTCTGTTACGCGGTCCCCAACCTGACACCCTGGCCCACGTGCTCAGGCCTGGGCGACCTCATGATGAAAGAGCCTTTTGGCGCGCAAAGCCAGTTAGCGAACCTCACGAACAGCTCTCCAACCCCGACGGACACCAGAGAAGGTTCTACTCTCTAAGCTGCCAGTTCAACTAGGACATCTGCTGTAAAATACCTGTGCACCCACCACTTCTCAGCACCCTTTCAGTATTTCACTGGAAGTTCAACAGCTCAACCTTTGCTAGATGCAGGGCAGCCAGGGGAGGGACGGCGAAGGTGCCAAGGGGACAGGAGTGCTCTCAAAGCCGGACCAGCTCCCCCAAAGCACCCCAGTGATTTTGCACACACAAGGCTCAGCGAGACTTCTGAACACTGCAACAGCATCTTTCACCCGCCTGTCCCAAACGAAAGCCAGCCTTAGCATACATAAAAAGCAGCGAACCGAGCAGAGAACAGATTTAACCCAACAACAGTGAACACTCATCATCTACAGCTTGGACCAGCAACACATCTCAGCTACCACAGCCTCAGCATCACTGCAACACCGGCAGCACTACGGCCTGCTTCGGACTCCTGCTCAGTTCGAGCAGAGATCCACTTCTCAGCGTGACTTTCCCCATCAAGAACAGGATTCAAAAGCCCCAGGCCAAGCAGCTGCATCGCAAGCACACATCCGGCGGGACGCGCCCGCGCCTGGGACCACCACCCACGGGTAACGCCGCTTCAGAGACAGCACGACATCGTAACTGCAGGTCGGTGGTTTTTAACTCCTCGTGCATAATTCTACCCCGTTTTCCATGAAGTGAAACATGTGACAGTTACCTCTAAACATTTATTGAGATCTATGTACACAGTCTCATTACGGAAGGTAAGCATCATGCAACCGAGGAAATCACACAAGAGTCTCATAAACAATATAAATTTGACTGATCTTTTACAAAGAGGAGAATCGCCAGGTTATCAAATCTCTCAGGTATAAATATTATGAGGTAAGCAATACTTAAGATGAGGCACTTAAACAATAACCCAAAAGGTAATTAGTGTACAAAATTATAAACAGGAACAGGTATTCATATTGCCCTCAATTATATTTAAAAATGATTTATAGTCTATATACAGTGTGTTACATGCCTTACACCCCCCACTCGAGCAAAACATGAAGGAAGTATGAAAGAAATGAAGTTGTCATCATCACGGCACGCCACTGAGTGTGACACAGGCAGAGGACCATCCCGGGGTCCGCAGTCATACGGGGACGAAAAAACCCATCGCTTTTCTAGGCAATCCCCAGTTTTCTGTTTGGAGAAAACATCTATGCGAACAGAAAGTTACCTCGGTATTAACACACACGTCAGCCACGCCAGAAGAGAACCACCCTACCGTGTTCAAGGAAGGAATGCCAATTAGGAACTGGATTTAAGCCTTCGGGGGATTTACGGTAATTAGAAATGTAACAAATTTAACTTTACAAAGAAATTAATTATGCCAATTAAAACACTTAGCAAGTTTTACTGGGAATTTATACAATATTATATGTATATGGCGGTGATCAATGCCCGATTTCTTAAAATTACTTAGGGCACGCTTCCAAGAAAACTTACCAAAGTAGTATAGGAATTCCAGCTAAGATGTAAAATTAGTATTTGCAATAAACACTTCCTTATCAAGATCCAGAGAGAGGAAAAACACTCAATAAAAGAGATATGGAATTTCTGTTCAGGTGGGTACACAAACATCAAATCCCCCTAACTGCACAGCCCCCTAGAGCCTGCCTGGGAAACAAGGTCATTATTGGCTAATAATATTTAAACCACCAAACGCTTTCAAAACACTCAAGAATTCTCAGTGCCGAACCGCTTGCATCAGCATGCCGTTTGTGACAAATCTGCAAGTTACCGCAACGGTAACTTGAAATACGCTTCCTCCTCCCGTGCTTTTTGAGGTGAGGAGGGAAATGGAAATTTCCACAACAGATGAAGTTATTCCTATCTGAGAAATACCTGTATTTTGTGCAAACAACGATCCTAAGTTCACTCAGTCTCATAACAAAATAGCTCAGATTTTGTTTTTAGATGGCTTCTGAAGGCCATCTATGTTTTACTCGTATTTGACATTTCAAACTCTCTGAAGAAAGGCAAGCTACATTATGTTTTCTGTTTCTAAAGACAAGCCAGTCGAGTTTTGAAGCTTAAATGGAATGCGGGAAGAGCCACAGTTACTGGAATAACAAAATTAAACTTGGCAAAAGTAATGAATTTTATTTACAAATACATGTACGAGTATTACAACAGAAACACACTAGGGAAACTCCATCTCAACAAAAGCAATGATTTATTGGTAATGGCATTAAATGAAACAGATTGACAGTCTCTGGTTATGGTCAAGCAATTATCCAGGAGTTGTAGATAAAAGTGAAGATCTGTGATTGCGATAAGGCCTTCCAGTGTCTTCTGCGTCCTAGTGGCTCTCTCCTTTTTTGCCAACTACCTGATAAGAGAAAAAAAACAGAAATAACTTTTACCCAAAAAAGCCCTGCCAAGTATTTTTTAGAGTAAATCTCAAAATAAACAAGTGCAACTGAATTTTCAACTAAATTAATGCATTTCGGCATGCAATATTCTGGCACTTGCAGAAGCCGTGAATCCCTCTAAATGGTTAAGAGGGCTGCAAGACACACAAGAATTCTTATTTTTAGTACTCATACAGACAGCAAAGCAACAGTCTCATTTTGAGTTAGAAAACAGTAACTGCAACAGAACAGACCGCACTTAAAAATGTATGTGTTATACACCAAGCATTCAACCTTAATCCACTATATAACATACTATAGTGGGAAGAGAACCACTAGGTGCTCAAATATAAGCTTGTTCATTTCCCTTGGCATCCTTGCCGTGTACCTCACTAACAACATTTACCTTATAATACAGCTCAAACCTATAAAGAAATCCTCATTTTCAGTTATTCCTTACCAAGTCTCCTTCCAATCTCCAATTCTGCAAACTCCACCTGGAATCAGAGTCAGCTTAGCGCTTCCCTTTTCAGGAAAGATCACCACTGCCACCAGACTTTGGCGAGTCGATTTGCCAGCCAACAGGGAGTGCAACTCCAGCACTCTAGACACTGCTATGCAGGTTTAAAGTTAGCGTAGCTCACTGCAGAAGGGTATCCAGTCCCCTTCGTTAAGATAACTGAACACAAAATCCTCAGAGTAGAAAACGATGCCATTTTAGTCACTTTTCTGAAAGGATTCCGACATAATCCTAGTGCCCTTACAGGCCCTTGAAAAAGAAAGTATCTGTTTATAAGCCAAACCAAAATAAAAAGAAAATAAGTCTTAAAGTTTAAGGCTTCAGGAGGGACCTGGGGCTTGGCACCGATTCCCAGTTCATTCCCATCTAACTCGAGCGCAGCACTTACGGCTCTGGCAAGGTGTAGCCAGAACTCACACGAACAGAGATTTGATGATTTGGAGCATAGAATTTCCCATTACTAATCATAATAATGCTGAAAACAAAGGAGTAAAACCTTTCTTGTATTTTAACCAATCGACTGCTACAGCAAATGGATTAATTACCTCTGCAGGTAAGTGACAATATACCACACAAGATTCATACAGTCAATAGTGAAATACAGAATTAGGGGGGAAAACAAAACAAACAAACAAAAAACCCAAACGCCCACAGTCCTGAACTAGGGAAGGCTCATGGACCCACTGGAAGTACTCTTTTCTTCCTGATCCTTCCCCTTTTTCATATCTTGTCAAACTTCAAGAGGGAGAATTTTTCACTATCCAGCTGCTTTTGGTCAGCTGAGTTACCACCATCACAAAGTAATTGAGATCTACTGATAAAAACAACTTTTAAAGAGCATTTTCACCTCCAAGGAACCCTTGACCAGGAGCATTTCACCAAGCTGTAAATTCAACCTAATGCTTAAGGTCAGGAAAATTCCAATCTGACAACGTGAAGAAAGAAGAAAAAATAATCAGAAGCCCAATCACTTGCATTAAGCTCCAATTAATCAAGTTAAAAAAGAAAAAAAATAGAGTTAAACGTGTCAAGAAGCAATATTTATTCTTTGTGTGTTTCCAAAGCACCAAATTGTGATCACACACAGATTAAGGGGGGGGAAAACAGAAAAAAGAAAAACCACAGTTAAAAGATTAAAGATTAGATGTTAGCAAGTGGGGAGCATCAATGAAAAATATTGCTATACCAGTCTGAGGCAGAAATTGACAACTCGCCCATGTGTATTATCTGTGAAAAATCAATCACACCAATATGGATATTTTGTCATCACAGGTCAAAGAAACCCATTGTCTGACCATCCCACTCCACCTTCCCAAAAGAAAATGGGCTATCTGAACTTAAACGAAACAATTGTCATGATTCTTTTCTCGGAAGTAGATCCATGTTCCTTCCTTTCACAGAAACAACTGCCATCTAGTGCATTCTAAGGTAGTGGTTACAGCCCGTAGTTCCCACACAAAAGATGAGAGTGTTGGAGCAAGCTTTTTTCCTGTCATTTTGCTTTTTCCCCAAGCATCAGTCCAGAGCCTGACAGTGACAACGCCACAACCCACTACGGTTCACTACCAAGAGCAGGACTGGAAACGCTATTACTGAACCTTCTGGAGCACCGTTTGGTTTATTTGGGGGGGCGTTCCTTTTTTTTTTTAAAAAAAAAAAAGTGGTCAAGCAAGTAAAATTAGTAGGATACCGCTGGAGAACCCTAATCAGGCCAAATATGTACAAACACTCACCAACTCCTTACTGTGTCTTCCCTGAGCAGGTGCCCAGTGCCACTAGACGGACAATAGAGTAGTATTTTGCAGCCCATTCTGGCTTGCCTACTACGTACTGAAGGGTCACAACAAAGAACGCTAAGCTCCACTAAGATATTAAAAAGAAGTCAGGTGTTGGTAGAGCATTTCACGAGTTGCATCTCAAACAGCTTTCCAAAATTCAATACAAGCTGAAAAATTAGTTACAGAAAATATTGTGTAGAAGTACTGTATGGTATGCCTTTAAAGTGTCAAGTTCAGGATAACAGTGCGACAGCAATTTGGTAAGACTGAAAGGTAAAGAGAAGCGTTGAAGGTAAGATTTGGAGTGGGGAGTGGAGGGGAAAGATGAGTTGATGAGTCAGAAGGTAGAGAAGGCTGTTCCTGATGGTAGAAGGTGCAGAGAAGGTGGCTCTTGCATCAGTGCTGAGATTGTGGAAAGGGTGAAAGAGATGCTAGATGAGCAGAAGGAGCAAGGGAGGGAGTAGTGCAAGACCACTTCAATCTTATTATATTACTTTTTAATTTCTTCTGCCTTTTTAGTTCTTTAGAAATGGGAAGTTAAGCTGAAAAACAAACAAACAAAATGTTACAAGAAAAAAAAGCAGCAGCATGTAGTGCAAATAAGCAGTTCTGAGTAGAAAGCAAGCCTTCATTCAGGAGGGGACATAAAATTATCCCCTAAACCTGTCACTATTCATCTATGCCCCAACCTCAAAACTGAGCAGCAGTGTCTTTTATTCATTAATACCAGAAATAAACAAGAACTATAGGGGGCATCAACAGTTGCATGTTCTTCCACAAACAAAAGCACATTTACAAGTTCACCACTGGATTCACCAGAACCTACCCAATACTAAGCTGTCAGTTGGTTGTAAGAAACCCAGAACTTGCACCTTGACTCTCCACTTTTAGCTGTCTGCCCAGTGAAGTAGTCCCACTACGAAACGTCTTTGTGCATTGGAAGCAAATCTCAAATACAGTCTACTGTTGTAGTTCGCGTGATCAGTTATACCTTAAGTCAGACCTTCTGTGGCCAAGAAACATCTCTGTCCCCCCTCTTCTGTCACTCCGAAGACTTCCCTCCTCCCCAGAGGTTAAAAATAAAGTTGTGCAAGGAGCAGGACACACACAACATATTAAAACAAGTTGGAAGCAGCTTTTATAACTTTACTCACTCAATCCAGCAATACCAACTACATGCAACAAAATGAAAGAATTTTTTTTTTTTCTTTTTAAAAGTGAGACCAGTCAATCACTGGAACCACCTCCGCAGGGATGTGGCAGAGGCCCCACTGCTGGAGGTTTTGAAGATGCGACTGGACAAGGTGCTAGATGTTCTCATCTAGGCTCCCTTTCCCAAGACAGGTTGGACCAGGCGATCTTTTGAGATCCCTTCCAACCTGGGCTGTTCTGTGATTCTACGTATGTCCAAACTACCCTGAGGCTAAAATCACTAATAAAGGACTGATTTATCTACACCTGCTTAGTACTTCGGTTATTTTTCAGCATAGGTAAGTTTTAGCTTTGTTTTTGATGTGATCAATCATAAAAACGTGACTGGAATCACATTCACGTCCACTTCTTAATTCAAGCCCTTCAAATAAGATATTTAACAGATTTTTACAAACACTTAAATGCTCAGGGGAAAAAAAGCATTCCCCCATCTTGTTAATCATATCGCAATACTATTTCTATCATAATTAGAAGAGAACACAGTAGAGACAGACTGAGATGAGGGAGTGAGACAGATGAAAGCAGCAAGTAGTGTGGGTAACTACTCAAGGAGATGAAAAGAAAAACAAGGTTTCCCAGTTAATCTACAAACCTAAATATAATTAATGCCCAACGCTATATTAAGGTTTCATAACTGACAGGATCACTGGAAGAGAGGAAACAAAAGTTAAAATTCTTAAGAGCACTGCAACTCTGCCAGACTACACATCCCATTTGTTATGATGAAATATTTTAACAGTCTAATATTAAAACTACATGTTCAGGAAGCAAAGCAGGAATATTACATATAGCATTGATGAGTATCTGAATTGAGACAGGATTAGCCACTTCACAACCCAGTAACGCCTGCTCCTCTATTTAATGCCATTCTGTCCAGTTCCTTAACATCTTGACATTACCAGTACCATGCTAACACCAGGGGACTGTTTGGTGTATGCATGATTTTGTAGGTTTGTGTCACCTCCCCTTTCATTCAAATGGGTGTCACGAGACACAAAGGCACACTCCTTGCTGGTGTCAAGGCATTCGCTTGCAAACTTTGAGGAAACCAAAACTGTTAACTGACAACCGGTATTCACCAGGCCATACAGCAGCTTCCAAGCATCCACACTGCATCTAGAACAGAGAGATCTGTAAATCCCCTCTCACTACAGTAGAGGGCCGAGCTGCCTGGAGACCCGTGGGATTTTTAATGCCTTTGTAGGGCTGCGTGAGGGCAGCTGCGAATTCAAAACCCCACTCCCCACACAAACACTGACAGGAGCTCGGATTGTTACAGCAGGCAGTTTCAGGCTAAGGCAGTACTTCAGTACTGTGTCCACCGAACTAACGTTTTGTCCATGCAACTGTAAAATACACATTGTGCAGGCTCAGCACTAGTCTCAAACTCATGTAACATTCTACAAAAAAAAAAACAAAAACACACAATACCAAACCTGAAATGCTTTACTGAGTGCACCTCAATCAGGATTATCAATTTAAAAAAAAAAAAATCACTACTTTAACAATCAGAACATCAGGATTAAAGACTGCGCCTGTTGAAAATAAACTTTCAGTACTTTTGAAAGCAAATTACAGAGTTTACAGAGAACTGGAAGCAAGACAGATCAAATACCAAGTCAGAGTCCCATCCCACTCACAACAATACCAGAAAGTACTGCAGATTAAGGATATTAAAGTAGTAATTGCACAACTCATTGCAAGGGATGCCCTAATACCGTAAGTACTTACAGAAAAACTGTATAAAACAAAAAATGTAAGCAGATTGTAAATCGATTAACATAAGTTTGGGGAGAATTGGAAAAGCTGTATTAGGAAGGTGTCACATTGATATCCAGTTAATTTTAGTACATTAGAAAAACTTTTTCAATGACTTCAGGTTTCATTGAAAGGCAGCAAAACCTGTTAAACTTCTATTTATTAACTTAATTATTACCCATAAATATATTGAGTCTTTCATGTAGAAGTTAAGATCAAGTTTTGACGTTAAAAATTCCAAGTACGTCGCATGTTGGTGAGTGTTAGTGTTTTTAACCTTTTGAAGTTGTAGGTAATTTGTATAATAAATTCTGTGGTGCCTTTCATGTTACTGGTCACCTACACAGTAGTTTGTAGGCAGGTGTTACAGCACTATAGTAGCCTTTGTAAAAGGGCCAAAGTTTAAAGACTTGCTACATTTTGAAAAAGTTGTAAGTAGCCTCACAGTTTCAACCCTTTCAAACCCATTTCACATTCTCAAAAAAAAAAAAAACAAAACAAGAATTGAGAACGCCTTACTGTTCAGCACTGGAATGTTTAAAGTCATACTGTAACAAGTTCTTTGCTTCTGTTTCCGCTTTGTAAAGCAGTATGTTTAATATAACAGACACCTTGTGACCAAATATTTTTCAGATCTCAAGCTTAATGTTGCCCAGTGAATAAAATCCTTCAAAGCAGAAGTCAAGTCAATCACAAGGAGTCTGTGTAACTTGTACATGCAATTGCTTCTCTACTTCCTGAACACCATCAGAAAGCAAGTTTCAAAGTCAAGACATAAATCTCACAGCTGTTCAAAACCCAACATCGCCTACCGTGTATATAACTTGGCAGTCCCTCGGGTTTTCATATATACATTCTTACCAGTTATTTTCACAAAGTTGATGAACAAAAACTTGCAAGCAAGACCAAAGATCTGTAAGATAAAGCTACACATTTTCCTTTGGATGCCAAAAGTACCTTAAGTTGTGGAACTGCAGTAACAACCAAGTGTATTTGTTCCATCAACCCATTTTTGAGTCAGTTCAAAACATTCAAAAGTGCTTTTAAGAAAGAGGACTCACTCGCTTGAAGTCATTCATATTTGTTGCTTGGACTGGAGTTCCAATAAATGTGAAGTACGTAATTCTTGTTGTCTCTTCATCACCATGATTGGATTGGACAAACAACTAAAGAAAAAAAACCCAAACGTAAGAGTTAAGGTAAACAGTCCATCCCTGAATTAATACATAAAACATCAGGCACCCAAGATTTTTGAAGAAACCAAATTGCCTTTGTAACCTTTTGAGAAGCTACTGTCCTCTTATTTTAAATCATGATTAAATAGAATGCTGTTATTTTCCTGGCAGTTTGTTAAAAAAAAACACAAAGCTTGGATATTCCCAGCTTCCACTTCTGACCCGAGATCACATTTAGCAAGCAAAACCAGATCTAAGAAGTCAAAATTTGCTATTCACTGGAATCTGACTTGAAGTTAAAAACCAGTTTAACCATGCTTGCTGAAGCTTATAGGACTATTCATGTGTAGTTTACTACTACAGCTTGCGTAATTATGTGCTTTACAGCATGAATACTAGAGCTATGAAGTTATTTTAGGGTTTCAAACAAATATCAAACTTTGTTTTTAAATATAAACTACAGAATTATTGCCGGAACCACTACACTTTGTAAAGTGGACAAACGAAAGAACAACTTTTTGCGTGAAGTAGTATTAGTAAGGAACTTGAAGCCAGAAGAGCCATTAAGTGTTTGTGGGTCTTTCCACACTTTATTTTGAGCATGGAGACAGGAGGAATGAGAAGGAAAGCAAGTAAGTAGTGGCAGCAGGAGCAGAAGAAAAAAAGACAGAGAGGACAAGAGGTGGGCAAGGGACAGCACACATCACGCCCTTTCCACAAGCCATAGCCAGTATCTATATAGACGCCCGTTCGGCCTCAGAAATTGCCTGTGCCACAGACCACCAAATGCTGCAGGGTACGGCATCACTACATGCTTGCCCTACACTTAATTTTTTTGCGACAACACCAGATGCTTGCAAGTGTGTGATAAGCAAGATGGATTGCCGATCTAAACCAGTACAGACATTCACCTCTCCAAGCGGCTTCACTGTAGTTGGAAGACCACGTATTTTCCTATACAAACAAGATGTATGGAAAGCGAGGGTTGAAATGCTGAGGAAAGTACTCTTCAGACAGAAAGAAACAGAAGAACACAAGAACTGACTTTTGTCAATCAGAGGTGAACTGCAATGTGTTCAGAGATTCTGGCTCAGTAACGATACGAAAAGTTCAACCAGTACAGAGAAAAACAAATGCCGCTGAAGTAGCAGTAACGAAGATAAGCACACAAGAAAAGGGGAAAACCAGCATTAGATATCAATTATGTGGATTAGAAACTACAGGGGATAGAATTACTAATTAAAAAAACAGGTAAGTTAACTAACAAACCTAGCAGCAATAGACATCAATGAAGTATGAACGTGCTAATACTGACATGGAAATGTTCAATAAGTATTTCTGATTATACATGGCAGAAAAGCAGAGCAATTTGTGTATATGACAACTATGCCTCCTCCAGTTCATCGGGAACCACATGGAAGATTTTTATCCACAGGAGACTGTAAGCAAGCAGAACTTCATCACCCACACACTGAAAAGCCAGGTGGTGGACAAGACGACTGGCCATCTCATTTTTAGGAGATCTTAGATAGAGAATCCAGGTTTAGCTAGGAAACTAGGGGAATGCTACCGCAGCAGCCACATGCAAAGAGCGCAAACAAGCGGAACATCTATTTAATCACCTTATCACTTGCCTGGTGTTTGCACATCATCCTGTCTAAAGCTGACACAGGATTTTATTAAAGAACAAATACATAACTCGTACTTATCAGCACAGCTTTGTAGAATATAGGCCTATGTGACTGATCTCCATTTCATTTGAAGGAGGATAAAGTTGGTTGCAAAGGTAACTCCATAGAAATAACAGACATGAAAAGGAGGTTTTTTTAGGTTCACCTGCTGTTACATTTAAAATAATCACTAGTAAAACATCACTAAACATGCAAGTAGCAAACTGATCTAAAATGCAGTCCACAAATAGTAATTTGGAAATTTACCAGAAATTTTTTTACAGAAGAAAAAGTGTGATGAAGAGATTGAGGGTGAATCAATGTTCAGAAGTTACCTATAACTCATAAGCAGCTGGTGATTTCTGTGGCCAGCCCACTAAAATATAGTTTAATTCAATTAACAGTAAGTCCATACGTTTGCAAATGTGTAATTCAGGCCAGGAAAAGGATTTCTACCGAAAACAACTCAGGGGTCATACTGGAAAGACAGTTCCAAATAGTACTGCAGGAAACAAGGCTAGCACAGTACTAGGATGATGGCAAGCATAAAGCAATTCCAGCATCAATTTAGTCATCGCATACATTGCACTAGAACCTGTATTTTAAAAATGGGAGAGGAGAAACCACATCTGCGCTTAAAGAGTCAGAAAGCCTATGTCAAATCTGTGGAAAGTCTCTTACAGGAAGAGAATGAAAGAGCTTGTTATAAGACAAAGGTGCTTTGATTACAGCATTTAAGAACCCTCACAGACAGCAGGTACTGAGTTTAAAGGTGTCAAAAGTACTACACTTGATACTCAGAGAAATCGGTCATTTCTGCAATCAGATTACTGAGAAACTGGCTTTCTTGTCCCTTCAACTCTGCCAATTAAAACAAGATGCCTGTTATGTTAGTAAAAACGCAAGGTGTGTTAAACAGCACACCAGCTTATGAAGGGGTGAAAGTGAACCTTATGTCTCGTCCTAGGTCAGAAGAGCCATTGCATGCACCTGGCCTCCTCTTACCTTAGATTCCCAAAATACTTTTAGCATAAGCAGTTATGCAATCAGCAGAGAGAAACTAAAAACATTTGCAATTAAATCAACAAACATGTACACTGCTTTAAAAGCCTATGAAGTTTTGAGCCTGCACACCCCTCAGAACAGAAACTTTACTTACAGTTACGCTGTTAACATTCTGAAATTTTACATAGCGAAGCTGGACAATACCATCTTCTTTAATATCGTCTGGTGTCAGCTCCAGGGCTTGAGTTGGCTCGCTTCTTTCTGCTTCTTCAAAATCCATAGATCGAGGAAGGTTGATAAAGATTTTTATGTACTTTGGACCTTGCCCTGTGTTAAAATATAGAAGTGGTATTCCATTGTTAAAATATATTTTCAAAACACTGCCTGAGAAGCCCTTGCTTATCACAGTCTCTAGATCCTACTCAAGGAAGGCATGAGCTTCTACAGTTCTAGCAGCTTCTCTGCCAATCCTACATGCCCACCCTGCATACTGAAGGAGATCCAAAGCTGCACTACTCATCTATGTGTCAGGGACAGAATTCTGCAAAAAAAATCGAACAAAAAGTCTAAAAATAGTAGTTTTGCTGTGTCATAACACCTGAACATTTTATGTCATTTTATAATGTAAACCGAGTTACTGTAAAAACTAAGCTATGCCTTTCCGTAGCTCACACATTCATTCTTGAATTCAATGTAACTTTCTCTTTGCAGCATATCAAACTATAGTAAATACTCACAGTTGCATCACACCAAATACCCATGCACGAGGTCAGTGAAAAATGAATGAGATCATCTGTTATCTAACTCATGTACAAGATATCTACTAAAGCTACTGTGGGATTCTCAGAAGGTAAAAGGCTCCAGGGACAACCGCGCCATTTTTAAAAAATTCAGCTAAACACGGGCAAAGTTTTGGTTTCAAAGATACAATTAAACAGACGTTTCACTCACCATTATCTGGCCCCTGAAGTTTCATAGAATAAAGCTTGACAGGTTGACTAAAAGCTACAGTAATAAGCAGCTGTAGAGAAAAAAGTTGCTGTTAAACACTGTTTTCTTCATTCTTAAAAGCAAACATAGCACAATAATTAAACAGAAGTAAGTCTGAGCTTTGAAATAAAATTAAGTACTTACCTTCACTATTATTCCTGTCATTTTAAAACATCAGCAAATGCTACTCTGCTTGGAATTTTTTCCATACGTAAAGGGATGTGAAACTGGAAATGCGATGACAACCTTTGTATACTAATTTTACATACATCCTACTACCATTTCCTACTCTTACTTACGCTACCATAAAAATATAAAGTAGGCAAGTTCTTAAAAAAAAAAATGGTTGCAGACCAGACCATCACTGAAAATATCACACTTAAAAATATCTACTGTACCTGCTCGTCACAGTCTGATTCCAAGTATGTAGAGTCTTTACGTAAACAATTATCAAATCCGTGCTCATCACTCTCATTAAGACATTCACAGCCGGCTTTATTGATAAATGGCATTAAATCCATCTGAAAGTAAAAGCAAGAGCATTGCTGAGTGCATGATAAGTGCACCATGAACTCATCTGGGATTAGTAAGCATTGGAATGAATGAAATTCTTCATTTAACAGATTAAAATAACAAGACACACAGAAAACCTCAGGGGTTTATATCAAAAGACATTACTAAAAAACTACGAATACTACAGTACTCAGATATGTCCTGTTCATAACTGAGCGACATTCTTCCTCTCCATGCAATATCCCACACCCCTGGAACACAGGCTTGTCATTCTGAGAATAAGAAATTGGGCACAGGGAGAATTTTCAGATATGTTTTTGATAAACAAGACTACAGCACCACAAGTCACACCACAAGATCGACAAACTGACATTAGGCTGGAGATACTACTAACAGGGGGGAAAAAAAAGACAAACAGAAATGAGCCTCCCCAAAAATATACTATATATTGCAGAACAAATTAGAAGACCACCACTATAGGTCTTACCAGGCTTTCTATGCAAAGCTAGTCTTATTTCACTTCTTTTGCTCAACTTTTTTGTAAAGGGTCCAACTAAAAGCTTTAACATATACGTATTCTCAGATTAAAGCAGACCACTATCCATGCTCCAAGCCTCAACCATTTAAAAAGTGGTATTACTGCAGAGGCAGAATAATCTGTATCAACTTCCAGATAATCAGAATTTTTTGCCTGCAACTAAAGTGAACCAAGTCCAAGGGAAGCACAGTAAGCCAGGCTAAAAATCAAGTATTTCATATCTTACAGCCTGAAGACACAGTATCAACATCTCACACAGTAACAGTACAAATTTGAGATCAGTGTACCGTCACAGAATAGTCCAGACACAAAAAACTAAATGAACTTTTAGGATGACAACCCAAAATACCCTTTTTAAACAGCATATATTAGGTCTCAAACAATAATATACCACTCTTGGAAAAAAAAAAATAGCACACACTAGCTTGAAAATTACTGCATACTACAACTCAGGCTACAGCTTCAGGGTACAAACAGAATCCAAAAACAGGCTGCTGAGAGAATACAACTCATTTCCCCTATCCCACTTCCCTTAGCTCTTGCAACTAGGTTATTCTGGGCAAAAAATACTTAACCCCCTCCTGACATCCAAATGAAGGCCTAGCTTGCAACTCACACGCTCAGTAGAGATATAAAGTAAGAAAAGAGAAAGAATGCACTGCTGCGCAAGAGGATGAGGATGCTTTCCTGGAGCCGACAGTGGTCCAGTCTGGGTCAAGCATATCCTAAAATAGCATTTCAGCCTGCCACTTATGGGTCAAATGGAATTCCTGCTTGGCTCACACAGCCCTGAGCGTATTCAGGATGTGATTTGTAGCAGTAAAACACCACCTCCCACAAGATTAACTTTTAATAGAAGATGGTGCATTCATCTCAAAACCAATCTAACTGAGCAGACCTGCACTTACTACCTGAATGACTTGCGGTGTGTTTAGGGCTCCAAAGCTAAAAAGCCGAACCTTTGTCTTTTAATATTCCCATAATTGCACAAAGGATCTCACAATAATTATAAATGGAAGCACTCAAATATAAAGTGAAGTGCAATGCATGCCATGGACCAGCTAGCAAGGAGCTGAGCTGCTAGAAATTCAAGTAACCTGTGCCCCTGCAGTTTATTTAAACGAGAAATATTCAGCTGGATTTGCACCCTGCTTACATTTGCCTGATAGGATATGGCCACCTATGAAGTTAAAATACTTAACCTCCAAAAAAACTGGGTTTGCATTCAAGAACGTAATTTGGGGTTCTATAGATACTCATCACGGCTAAGTTTAACGTATTAGATTTGCTAATGTGAAGTAACATGCGCACTACAGCAACTAGCTAAGCACTGAACTGTGACATACGATTTAGGTGAAACCCGATACACCACATAACTAACTGTTTATAATTCGGGTAGAACAAAAGACAATCTCATTTAAGGAGTAATATTACACAAAGGGTTGCTTGGAGAATACCACCTGAGAGGACAGCTCTAGGAAAGTGTTTTGTCACATTAGAGTTCTCATTTACATGTGTTTGTTAGTACAGCTGTCAGACAGGCTTATGATTCGTAACGCACAATTGCCTTGAGGTAACAGGAAAACATGCAGAACACGGTGAAAATAATTTCCTGAGCACCAATATTGCTAAGCGGATTGCTCCCTTATTGAAATTTTGGCCAAAAATTCAAGCATCCCTACAAAGTTTTGATTTACCTAGAAGACGTGGGCAAATCATGCAATGATAAAAAGAAAAAGAATCAATCTGTTCATGAATACAATTTTTAAATTCTTTGAAAAAGTTTTAAAATCAAGTTTTAGTTATGAGAGATTTTGATGCAAGGTTTAAAAACCATTCAGTCTGCAAACATACATTTAGAAACGATCACTTTTCTTTTTTACAAATTACTGAAAACTTACAAGTTATTTACTTAGATTACTTGTGCGTGCCTGATCAGCAATTAATGCAGTGATCTGCAGTATCCTTACCGAAGCAAAATGATATACATTAAGCATTAAATTGAAAGCAAATTCACAGTCAGCAAGTAATTCTTGTATGCGGCTCACACCAGGCACATCATCTTTTCCAAGTATTCGTGTCACATTTTTTTACTTTACCTATTTTTATATCCTTGCCATTCTTTCACAGGCAAGAAGAAATCTAAAGAAAACATCCACTTTTGTAAACATTAGGAATTAAGTAAAAGAAAATATACCATGAGAATCATTTATCTAACAGCACCCTCCAAAAAGCATCCGATTTTCAGGGCAAGCTGCTATGGAGGAAGATGGAGCTGAACTATTATGACGGTTAATTCCTTTGGCAACAGACTCTCTCCCTCTCTCTTTTTTTTTTTTTTTTAAAGAGATGAAATAAAGAGGATTAAAGAAATGGTAGGGAGCAAGAAAAAAAAAAAAAAAAGGAAAAACCTCAACCTAAATGAACCTACCACCACATAAATAAGAGAGGATTTCTTACGGAAAACCAGAGCAACTTTTCAATGGTTTTGACAGCCATGTCTGACAATGTCTTTTCCCATGGACATTTTTACACTAAAAACATTTTGGGAAGACAGATTGGGACATCTGAGAAGAGGAAAGAAGCAGAATAAGCAGCTGCAGCAAGAATTTCATCATAAAACATGAAATTCATTATTTTCATGACTAAAGCCTATGCGTGGAGATTTTTCTTAAAACATTTTACAATTCTGAAACTATCCTTACTAAATATGTACACATTAAAGCAGAGACGTGATCCTCTCAAAGCCACAAAAACTTGCAATTTAGACTAAAGTAGTATTATTTGACTTAGGGTATGTTTAAAAAGCCAGATATATTTTGAAAACTTTCAAGTTATGCAAACAAAACAAACAAAAACATCATAAGAGATGCATACATATCCTTTTGGGATATCTGTATCTTCGCTGTTTCCAGGATCATTCTCCAGGTGCTGTTTAATTTTTTCTTCTAAACCTACAGCATCTGCTCCTTGATATTGGTCAATTCGCACTTTGTTTCGGAAAAACAGAAACGTTGGTGTTGCTGATATATTATTGGTAGCAGCTGTTCCCTAGAATGCATAAATTAGTTACAAGTGTTACCTAACAGAGTATTGCCAATATAAGAAACATTAGCTTGCTTCACCTAGATAAGAACGCACACGCAAGATATTAAGCTACATCACAAACTATATTTGTTATTTTATAAACAGCTTTAACTCAGACAATTCTAAATTCATTTAAATTCTTCAGATCCTCCTAAACCTTTACACATTTGGGCATTCTGTGAATGGACTTCACATTGTCAGTCGATTTGTTGGTACACCACAAAAATCATATCACTCGCTTTGTCTCAAAAGTGGAGGAGAGCTTAATTTAACACTTTTCTTTTTACAAGCTTTCTTTACACCTGCAGGCCTTCCTCTCCCAAGCCACATTCATGCACACCCAGGAACTGCAGCCTGCTGCTGTGAAAAGTGAATTCCATTTGATTTCTACCTGTATTCATACCTGTTATGCACCTATAGTAGTTTTCCCCAAAACTTTCCACAATTTGCTGTCATTTGCAAACATTGTTACCACTTTTATATTCATCTCTCTCCATTATAATTTGTAGTAATTCAAGACACTTCCTTTCAACATACCATTGTTAATTGTTGTTAACGACTCTTAAGTCAATCAATAGCTCATCTGCAACACTGTTGTCTGTTAAAAACAGCTGAGTAGTACTTGAGGGGAATCTCATCCCACTAATCATATCAGTTTATTGCACTTTTCATTTTGCTCAATAATTATGCCAATATTTGTTTGGAAAGACTTACTCTTTTTTATTCATACTGGTGCTATGTTCTACCTTTAACAGTATTATCTAAAAAGCACAAGCAGCAGGAACTGTACACTGCTTAAATAAAGGACATCACAACTGCAAGAATATTTTTCAAAATAAAAGTGTTGTTTGTTCACATCTTTGTGCATATCCTAATGTTGAGAATTTCACAATACTGCTAATTGTAATTCACCCAATATGTGAATAGCCACAGGATACTACTCTTAGTACACTCTCTGAACAGTTTTTCTTCAAGTTTCCCATTCATTACATTATCTGTTCTTTTTCTTTACAACTGGATATATGTTTTTTGAATACCAACCTGGCACTGATGTACATCTACTTCCAAAAAAGTTGCCTGGGGATATTTGTTACTCAGAGCATTGAAAGCTGGGGCTATCCTTAAACAAGGGCCACATCTGTGAAAACAAAGTACAGTTTAAGTTAACTCAATCTTTCTTTGAAAAATGTCTGCCCCAAATAGAATTAGCACATTTATCTTCTTACTGATATCCTTGGTACACGTAAAAATAACCTTCCTACCTGGCTGACAGATGGCGAGCAATCCTGGTGATACAATTAAGAATGACATTTAGAAACACATTATGAAGTGTTAATTCCCACTTCCTCAGACAGCTTCAATGTCACATGATTAGCTTCACCTATTAATTAATACTAACTTCATATTTTCATCTAATGGGTTTAGCTCCTGCATCTTTTACTGCAAGCCAAAGTCCTGCTAACCAAAGTGACATAAGGGAGAGCAAAGAGTTGCCCGCTTTTCCGTAAACAGCAAAGAATACTTTTACCAAAAAATTAATACTAGCACTCCACCAGCCTGTGAAAAAAACAGTATCTGCAGTAAAAATCTCTGCACGGGACTTGAAATATTTAACAGTAATAACGTGTCAAACCTTTAGCAGGAATCATAAAATCCTTACTATGTTAAATCTCACTTACTACAACTGTAACCAATTACTACCATACTCGATTTGATCCTGGTAGAACAGACCTGACTTCTGCTGACATAACTGTATCACCTTGGCTGAAAATATGTATTTGTTTGTTATTATACCTTTGCTGGCGTATATGAAGTGTACAGACAGAACCATTCCTGAAAAGGAATATTCTCACAACTCATCTTGCTGTGAAAGAAGCAATTAAGAAGCGAAACAGGAAAAAACCCCAATGGAAATTCCCTCCAAAATCCAAACAGCAAATCCACATAGGCCGTTATCTAAACCAGAGAGCTCTGCCAACACCTGTAGCTGTAAAACAGCACAGACGAGACCCGCTCCACCTTTCCTATTCTCTCAACAGCGAGGGTATGGATCCACAGCGGTGTAGCATATAAATATCTGTGAGTTTGCCTTGCTAAGACATCAAGCCATTAATCTAAACAGAGCCTAATACATTGGGTTGTCTGTGACCACAACATTTTCCTGGGCACAGGTGTACACAGTATTACTGAGCTCACCAACACCTCTACAGTTACGCCTCAAGCTGATTTACCCAAAAAACCCAAACAGCCCCGTAACTAAGAAGCAGCACTCGGACATCAGACACCCGTGTATCAATGCTTTTTTCAGTACCGCTCAGGAGCGCAGCTAGTGATTCTTGTGGCCGCTGCTACCCAAATACAACACCTTCCACCGGCTCTTTCACCACATCAGCCCTGAATTCTTTCAAGCCCCCAACTGCCATTGGAAGCGGAATGGTTTAACCGTATATATAAAGAAGGGGAGAAAAGATGAGGAAAAAGAGTATAGGCACTAAAACCTAGGGCTTCAACAATACCGAGGTGCACTCTGAAGCCCAGGACACCCAAGTCTATCGCTATTCTCCCTAATTCCACCGATTACTGTGAGTAACCGAATCGTCAAGATTTCCTTTGGTCGCCAGTTCATCCAGATTACACCACAGCTGTACTTCAAACATCTAATGAGCCAGGGAAAAAGAACATCAGCTTGCCCTGGGCAAAACAGATGAGGACCCAGTGAAGTTTTATGAAGGCGGAAGATGTTTTTAACAGAAAGCAAGCGAGATGCGGGTGCCCGTGCCCTCCGTTAACAGCGGCTGCCTGACCTGCAAGCGGATTTCAGGGCAGTGCCTGATCTCCTCAGAGCACCTGCAGAGTGCCAGGGCCCGGGGGCAGGGGAAGTCGGCTCAGCTGCCAAAAAAAAAAAGGTGATTTTTAACACCAGAAATAGGAAATAGCATTCTGATGCTGCGAGTATATCCATACCCTACAGATAAGGAGTGTCGCTAACGCTCAAAAAACCCAGTTTACTCGCAACTCTTACCCGCAGCAGCTGGCCAGTACCCAAAATGAGACAGCATTTTGCCACCTAACCGCACTTCTCAAGTTTGAAGCCTCGCCTCACAAAATAAATAAACAAAAAAGCTAAAAAAGAAAAAAACAACCAAACTCCTCAAGTCCCCCAGCGGTTCTCTCGGCTCCCGGGGAACCTCCTGAGCTCCGGGCCGGGGGCCGGGAGCGGCAAGGCCGGCTGACGGGGCGGCGAGGAGACGCCTCCCGGTGGGTCAGGCCCGGCTCCCGCTCTCCGCCGCCTCAGCGGGAACGAGGCCGACATGGCGGGC